CAAAAGGGGGGTGATGACTAAGGGGGGGGTGGGTTTCATGGCGCGGGCCATGATTTTTTCTCAGATTTCATGGCGCCGCTTCTTGTTGTATCACGTCCCAGGCCCCCCCGCTGGGCCGCGCACATGCCGCCGGTCATGATTTGCACCCTCCCTCTTGGACACCCCCCTTTTGGCCGCTCCCGACTGGCGAGTTGTCGGTTCTTGGGAATCCTGATATTTGTGTGTATTTATTTGTGTGTCCAGGGTCTCAGGGCTGTCGTGTCCTGTCCCGTCCTGGCCCTGGCCCTGGCCCTGGCCTGTCCTGCCCTGTCCTGCCCTGGCCTGGTCTGGCCTGGTCTGGCCTGACTTGGCCTCGCCTGCCCTGTCCTGTCCTGTCCCCCTCCCCAGACCCCCTCGTGTTGTGAAAAGAATCACGACGGCAGGTTTTTTGGCATTTTCGGCCTCTGGTGGCCCTCGCCGGGCCCCAGCACCGTCAGAAAACGACTCAGGATGGAAAGCTGGCCCTGGGGAATGAGTCGAGACCTCTGGGGTTCGACATTGTTCAGGAGGAAAAAAACACACAGACAGAAGTAATCGTCGATCCCCAGGAAATGATGGGAAAATATGGGAAGTGGGGGGGAAGACAAAAACCCAGAAAAGACGGGGAAATATGGGGACTCCTGATATTTGTGTGTATTTATTTGTATGTCCCAGGGCCCCTTCAGTTGTGGAAAAATCACGACGTCGGGGTCTGGGTCCGTCTCCTCCGGAAGCGTATCTGGGAGCATGCGGGAGCCACCCGAGAGCCGTGCGAACACCTCCGAAACGCTCGTCAAGTCTCGGGGGCGGCCAAGAGGGGGGTGAGGACTAGGGGGGGGTGATCATGGCGGGGGCCATGATATTTCCCGAGATTTCATGGCGCCTCTTCTTGTTTCATTACGTCCCTGGCCCCCCGCTGGGCCTCGCACATGCCGCCGGTCATGATTTGCACCCCCCTCTCTTGGACACCCCCCTCTTGGCCGCTCCCGAAAGCCACTGGAGACCTCTTCTTCCAGATTTGCGACACAACAAACAACGAGGTCGTCTGCGCTGCGGCACTGTCGCGTAAGCTCGCCGCGCAATGTCGCGCGTGAGCGCCCTCGTCTCCAGTGTGGCGTGCCGCGCGGGCGGCCCGCGTAAGCCGCCGCGTGAGGTCGTTACGTCATTCGCATAATACCAATTTTTGATCGTCGATCAGATGGCCCCGAACACCTGCATCGACGCGGAGAGTTATGATGTTCCAACCTTTTTTTGCCTCGACTACCAGAAAGAAATTTGAGCACCAAGAAGGTACTGACACTGAAGGGTTTTCGCGCGTCGGGTCCTGGGAAGCGATACTCGCTCGACGCTGTTTCGATGTTTTTCAGGGTGCCCGAAATTGCTTCTGGGAGGTGGTCCGTAAGTACGATGGTAACAACATAAGCGTAAGACCCGTTTTCGATCGTCGCTCAGATGGCTCCGAACACCTGCATCGACGCGGGGAGAGCTGCGATGAGGAGGAGGAGGAGGCCTGAGGAGGAGGAGGAGGAGGAGGAGGCGGAGGAGGAGGAGGAGGAGGAGGCGGAGGAGGAGGCGGAGGCCTGAGGAGGAGGAGGAGGAGGAGGAGGAGGGAGGAGGAGGAGGAGGAGGAGGAGGAGGAAGAGGGGGAGGCCTGAGGAGGAGGAGGAGGAGGGCCCCGGACACCTGCATCGACGCGCAGAGAGCTGCGCCTCGCGCTCCTCGCTTTTCGCGCTCTGGGGGTCGGCCGTAAGCGCCGCAGAGCTCGCGCGAGCTGCGCCCCCCGATCGGTCGGCGCGAGCGGCGGGCGACCTGCTGGGTGAGGCTTGCGTCGGGCACGTCCCTCGACAGGAGGCATGTCCAAAGACAGTCAACTAGTAGTCTCTGGGCACGATTTTTTCCGACTACGGTTGGTCATGTTCGAGTACCTTTTGGAGGGCGCGTCCCTCTGCAGGAGGGAGATCCACAGACAGTCAACAAGCAGTCTCTGGGCACGATTTGGTGCGACGATTTTTGACCATCAAGGAGACAGAGCAGCGGCTTCGTGGGAGCCAGCAGTGAAGAGGTGGAGCCCGACGTAAACAGTGCCGATGTTCTGCACTAGGGTTCTCATGTTTCACCCTGCTCGCGCGCCGGCGCAAGGCTTACGCTCGCTCGTAGACGCCTGCGGGGCGGCAGGGTGAAGCGCGACTCGGGAGACAGGCCAGGCTTGACGAACGAGCAACACACACCCATACCCATAGGGGGGTCGTTGAGAGGAGGACTGGCTATGGGTATGGGTGCGGGTTGTCGGATCCTGGGGAACGCTCCCGTTCGAGCGGGGACCCCCGTCCGACAACACGCACCCATAGCCCTCTCCGACCCCCCTATGGGTATGGGTGTGTGTTATGGGTTGGACTGGGGCGCCTGGGATGTCGGCGTCGCCGCCGCCGCCCTCAGACATGGACGTCAAAGTGGGTATTTGTGGTTTCCCAGGTCTCGATCTACGTTGAGCGCCTTCCATTTCAAAACTCGAGCGGTTCTCGCTGTCGTCGTCGTCGTCGTCCTCCTCACTGTCGTCGTCGTCGTCGTCGTCGTCGTCCTCACTGTCGTCGTCGTCGTCGTCGTCGTCGTCGTCGTCGTCACTGTCGTCGTCGTCGTCGCCGTCGCCGTCGTCGCCGTCGGCGCCCAGGTACTCCTGGAGGAGGCGCTGGGCGACGCGCAGCCCGAGGGCAGCGGCGGCTCGGCCGCGGCCGCGGCCGACGGCGCCAGCGGCGCGGGGGATCGCCAGGCGGGCGGTGCCGAAGCGGCGGCCACCCCCCTCCTCGCGAGCTCCTAGCCTCTCCTCTGGTATCGTCCCCCCCCGCCTCTGAAGTCGGGCATGTCCCTCCACAGGGGGAATGTTCAAAAGTATTCTACAAGAATAGTCTGGGGACGACTGTTCGATTCTATGCCTTCCTTTTTTTGACATTTTTCATTTATCTAATTTTTCCTCCACAGTCTGCCTGCAGGGGGACATGCCCGACCTAATCCTCTTCCATCCCTTCTCCTTATGAGTAGCTTCTCCATGTCGCACCCCCAGACGTGTCGGTATGGCGGGCCCGGCGTATCGCCCAAGATTTCCTCAAGATCCGGGATCCTTGAGGCGGGGATCAATGCGAAAGGGGGTCAGCCAGAGCGCCAGATCATGCTTGATCCTGCAGAGCGAGGGTTGCACTGACACGGGTCTGCGCGCAGGATCCTGCAGGATCCTGCATGGTTTTCCAGGATCATGCAAGTCCTGACTGGCCCGGGTATGCATTGACCTGGGTCAGTGCGTCTCCGAACCATTTTTAGTGTGAAGCTTGAACTGCTCAACAGTTTCACAGATGGAGGGCGAGTCGTTAAGTACTCGTTCAAAAGAGGTGCTGGCGCAACGTCTTGTCATTCATCGGCACGTTGATGGACAAGCAGCACCCATTCGGAGGCCTCGCCGGCGTGCGTGTCCGGACCAGGGGTGCCCTTTCACAGTGGGCATGCTCAGTCCGAGGGGGTTGGCACAGCTTCCAGAATTCGTGCAAGCTGTTGTTTTTAAAAGATGCTTGGCAAACCGCAGGTTATCAGCCCAAGCCTCTCCACATAAATCTGCCGCAGTCGTCTTGCAGCCGAAGGTCGGCTCCGGCCAGGCTGCGGCGCGCAGATGTGAGACCTTCTTGGCGCGTCTGCGGCGCAACGCAAGCGTCACAAGTTTAAAGGTTGGTTCCGCCGTCCTGCGCTCCACTCAGTGCTGTCGTCGCGGGGGCGGGGGGTCGCACCTGTTTGCGCGTTTGCCTGTTTCCGGATTCCAAAAGAGGCCGCGGGACAGGGAAGAATACAGCAAGGGTTTCCTGCAGCACAACGCGCCTCCGAAGGCGGGGGGCGTCGTTAAGTACTCGTTCGCCCGAGGTGCTGGTGCAGCGTGCTGTCATCCATCGGCACGTCGTCGACGCAGCCGCAGCAGCCATTAGGACGCGTTGCCAGCGCGCGTCGCCGGACCAGGGGTGCCCTTTCACAGTGGGCATGCTCACCCTGATTGGGGGTGGCAGAGCTTCTAGATCGGTGAATATTTGATGTTTGTGAAAGATGCTTGTCACATCCCAGGGCGGATCGTCTTCAAATTGTGACAGTCGCTTCAGCGCCGCGCGCTTTTGCTCTAACTTTTGCAACGACGTCAAGGGTGCTTTTCAGCATGTGGCTTTCGTTCTAGCGCCGCGCACGTTCGGTGTAAAAGTTTGCAGCAGCTTCTTGGGTGGAGGGTGTTTTTTTCGAAACGTGGCTGTCGCGTTAGCGCAGCACACATTCGTGTACGTCAGTATCAACAGATTCCAGGATTCGTATGGTTGAAGTCCCGGAAATTGTGCTCTGGCACGATTTCGGATTGTCAGGACCTAGCAGTTTGGTGGATTAGCGGTGTTGACGTCCCAGGAAGGGCGTTCTTGCACGATTTGGCTTTGTCAGGGCGCAACCGTCACAATGACTCGCATTGTTGAAGTCCCAGGAGCCGTGTTTCGGCACGATTGATCCTCAAACGGTATACATCAATGGGACAGTGCCCGCAATGAGTTGTTTTTTTCGTGGGCCTCTGAGCAAATAATCGACACGATACCTTTATCGCAACGTCGTTGATGCGGCTTGGGTTTGCATCGGTCTTCCCTCTACAAGTCCTCCACCTCCTCCTCCTATTCTTCTTGCTCTTCTTCCTCCGCCTCCTCCTCCTCATCCCCATCCTCATCCTCATCCTCATCCTCATCCTCCTCTTTTCTTTACCTCTTACGGGCAGTCAGGCCCTGGAGCCGTTCTGTTTCTGGTCTCGGGCCCTGGGGGCTCTCCGCGACCAGGACGTCAGCAAAACGGCACGGAATGAAAAGCTGATAATGACCCGCTTGCTTCATTGCAAGGGCGTGGCCGCAGCTGGCTTCGCCGCCGTCGTCGTCGCTGCCGCCGTCGTTGGCAGCGTCGTTATCGGGGGAAGGAGGGGGAGGAGGAGAGGGATGAGGCAAAAGGGCGAGGGTGAGGGAGTGCGAGGACAAGATGAGACCCTCATCATCGCTTTTCCTGTTGCTGCCTTTTATCCTCTTTCTGCCCGTCTTGGGTCCAGTTCTTCATGGTCCTCCTCCGTCTCCTCCCTTCTCTTCCCCTTCTTCTTCTTCTTCTTCACCTCCTTCATCTTCTTCTTCTTCTTCTTTCTGCCCCTCTTCCATATTCTCCCTGCTCCCCCTCATCACCCGCTTCCTCCGCCGCTTCCCGCCGCCGCCGCCTCAATCTCCGCCCAAGTCGGGTCCGCAGGCCCCTCCTGGGGCCACCCCTGGCCACATCTTCACCACGGACCGACCGCCCACGGCCCGGGGGGGCCCGAAGCAGGTCTCGAGAGGCTGAAGAGGGCGAGCCGCCTCTTTCGAACCCTCTCTTCATCCCCCTTCCGCCGCCTCCCCTCCTTCTCTCTCCCTCCTCCTCCTCCTCCTCCTCCTCCTCCTCCTCCTCCTCCTCCTCCTCTTCCTAGACCTCCTCTTCCACCTCCTCTTGCTCCGCCTCCCCGTCCTCGTCCTCGTCGTCGGCCTCATCCTCGTCCTCGTCCTCGTCCTCGTCCTCCTCCTCCTCCTCCTCCTCCTCCTCCCGCCCCCAGCCACGTTCCGCGCGGGCTCCAGACCGCCCGCACGGGCCTTCCAGGCCCCGCCTCCGGGCTCGGCGACGTGTGCAGACGGCCCTTCGCTGGGGTGGCCTTGTTGTGCGAGGGCATCCCGCAGAGAGGGGGGGTGGCCGGGACCTCCCGCCGTGATCTCTTCTCGACGCCGTGCTGCGACTGTTTCTTGGTGTCGGATGCCGGGATCCTGTCCTGCCCCCCCCCCCTCTCGGCCAGGAGGAGGAGGAGGAGGAGGAGGAGGAGGAGGAGGAGGAGGAGGAGGAGGAGGAGGAGGAGGAGGGGGGGTAGGAGGAGGAGGAGGAGGAGGAGGAGGAGGAGGGAGGAGGAGATGGAGGAGGAGGAGGAGGAGGAGAGGAGGAGGAGGGGGAGGAGGAGGGGGAGGAGAGGAGGAGGAGGAGGAGGAGAGGAGGAGGAGGAGGAGGAGGAGAGGAGGAGGAGGAGGAGGAGGAGGAGGAGGAGGAGGAGAAGGAGGAGGGGGAGGAGGAGGAGGAGTCGGAGGAGGAGGAGGAGGAGGAGGAGGTGGACCCTTCCCTGGAGTGGCTCCCCGTGCGCGGCTCTCGGGGGGCGCCGTGGGCCAGGCCCGAGCGCGTTACAGCTGCTGCCGTTCGCACCGCCGGGAGTGATCGGCGCGCCGCGCGTTTCAAGGGCCCTCTGGCCCATGGTCACTCCTGCCTGCAGCCGATGGGCGCTCCCTCCCCGCGGTCCCTCGGCTTCCTCCGTCCCCCCCTCCCGCACGGTGGCCGATTCGCTGCAGCGGCGCCCCCTTTTCGTTGGCTTCCCCCGCCGGCGCAGACGACCCCCTGCCTGGCCGCCGACGCAGGCGTGCAGCCGACGGGCGGACAGTGGCGCGCTCCGCTCCGCTCCGCTCCGCTCCGCTCCCGCCCCAGACATCTCGGCGATCTCCGACGACCTCCGACGACCTCCGACGACGACGACCTCCGACGACCTCCGACGACCGACGACGACGACGACGACGACGCTCCGCTCCGCTGATCTAGTTCCTTTGATCAGGCGATCGCAAACATGGATGAAGGGGGCGTGGATCAGGCAACGGGCCCCGCTCCCAGGAGACGCCGCGGACTTCCGCCGCCCAACGAGGCGGCGCCGTGGCCGCAATCTGGGGGAGGCTCGCGCGCCAAGCCCGTGGATCGCCGAGCCAGGTCTGCGCGCATCCCGATCTGAAGAAGAGGCAGGAGCAGAGACTGGGCCTCCCTCTCCCCCCGGGGCCGCCTGCTCGCCCCGAGCCGTCTTCTTGGGCCGGCGCTGGGGCCCGCCTCGGGGCCCCGCAGGCCGACCCCACGGACAGAAAACACCTCTCCGCACGGTGCGTTTTTTCCCAGGGCCGTGGGCGCCTGGGTTCCCTGGGGGCCGCAGCTCGACCCCGAGGCCTCTCCCTCCTCGTCGGGCGCGCGCGCGCTCGGCGCAGCATCTCGAGGCGGAGCCAGCCGCGGCGACGAGAGGCCCCCTCGCCCCCCCCCCCCCCGGAGGCTCGGGAGGCCCCGAGATCCTCGGAGCTCGGGGCCCGAGATCCTGGCCAGAGCTCGACCCTTCGATCCTGGGCCCTCCCGCGTGCCATGCCTCGGCAAGGCGCAGAGGGGGGTAGGGGGAGGGGGGAAGGCTTCTCAGAAGCACCCCTGCTTCTTAGAAGGCGCGGGCCTTCTCTGTAGACGTAAGGCCGAGGCTTTCTAAGAAGCAGGGTGCTTCTAAGAAGCCTTCCCCCCTCCCCCTACCCCCTTTTGCGCGCCGCCGACATGCCTCGGGCCTCCCGCGGCCGTTGCCGACGATCTGGGCACCCCCAGGGCGCCCTCGGCGCAGCGCAGCTGCCGGCAGGCACCCCGAGGCGAGAACCCCTCCGACAGCCAGCAGGAGCGGACGAAACCCTGCGACAGCCACGATGATCTTGGATGCCTGGGGCCCCCCCCTCTCGCCCGCAGAAGGCATGTATACTTAAGTCGGGCATGTCGCCCCTACGGGCCGACTTTGAACGGAAGAAGACTTGGTAAAAGAATACTCCCAAAGGATCAAAATCGTAGACAAAAATCGTCCCCCGACTAGTTTTGGACCATCCTTGAGTACTCCTCGTGTGGAGGCACGCGCAGAGGGACGCCACTGGTGCCGGTCCTGGGGCACCCCAGGCTCCAGGAGGAGGCCGCAGCCGACGAGGAGGGCCTGCACACCCTGGCGGGGGCCAAGGTCGGCCCGGGCCTGGCACGCGGGTGGTGTACAGATGCCTTCTTCTGCGCATCCGTTCCGCCCTCTTTCTGCGCAGCCCTCCCGCCCTCTTCCTCCTCCTCCTCTTTTTCCTCCTCCTCCTCCCTCCTCCTCCTCCTCCTCCACAATTTCTCAATATGAATACTACTCTCCCTCTTCCCCTGATGGCGTGCTGGGAGTAGCCGACCCCCCCCCCGCGTCCTGCTTTTTTGCACAGGATTCCCGGGAGTTGGGTTTTCGCCTGCATTTTTTTGTCAAAATGCTGCTCTCGCTGAGGCGCTGGCCTCATTTTCGGGCCCCGCTCGTTCCGAATCGTGCTCCCGCTGCAGCGCTGGCCTCATTTCCGTGCTTCCGCTCGTTCCGAATCGTGCTCCCGCTGCAGCGCTGGCCTCATTTCCGCGCTTCCGCCCGTTTCGACTCGTGCTCCCGCTGCAGCGCTGGCGTCATTTCCCGTGCCATGCCACAGCACACGCGCACACACCACCACCACCACCACCACCAGCACCAGCACAGCACCAGCACCAGCACCAGCACCAGCACCAGCACCAGCACCAGCACCACCACCACAACCACGCACACACGCACGCACGCACGCACGCGCACCACCACCCACTTACGCACGCGCGCGCGGAGCCACAGGTCCGCTACGACACGCGTCCGCGGATAGAGAAAATCAGCGCCATGGTAAGGGATGGGAGGGAGGGGTAGGACGTCAGATATGACGCGAGCGCACCTAGCTTGTCCTCCTCCCCCTCCCCCTCCCCCTCCTCCTCCTCCTCCTCTCCTCCTCCCCCTCCTCCTCCTCCTCCTCCTCCTTCTCCTCCTCCTCCTCCTCCCGCCCCGACCCCCTGGCGAGGGCGACGACCCAGAGCGGCTGCGGCGGGCGGCGGAGGAGGTCCGCGCGCTCGGGCGTGCCCGCGCACCCCTCCTGGCCGACGATGCGGACGTCGACGCCGGCGACGACGGCGACTGCGACGACGTCGACGAGGACGACGTTCGACGACGGTCGACGACCGGCGACGACGTTCGACGACGGCGACGACGGTCGACGACGGCAGCCGAAGATGACGACAGCGGCCGGCAGCGACGACGGCCGACGGCGACGGCGGCGACGGCGACGGCGGTCGCCGGCCGAAGAGGCCCCAATGTGTGGCTGGGTTCTTTGGCGTCTCCGCCCAGCCGTGGGCCTCCGGGAGGCTTCTCGCGGCCTCGGCCGGGCCCGCCTCGAAGTTCCGGCCAGGACGCGTCCTGGGAGAGGTGCCGCCGTGCCGTCGCCGTCGCCGTCGCCGTGTCCGTCGCCGTTGCTTTCCTCGGACGGGGGGGGTGAAGTCTGACAGAGTGCTCTCTAAGGGATAGCTGCCGAACACATAACGCCATTGGGCCGCTGTGCACGTCTATGTTGCTGCATACAACCTCGACGATGGCCACCACTGTTTAAGCATCCGCCGTCGTGGCTGACTACATCAGTTGACTTTGTCTCCTCCCCAGGCGGCAACGCTTTGATGACAATGGCTTCGATAACGTGTGGCTGGTTTCGACGAGGCACCGAGCCAGTGTTCCGTTTCGGCGCTGCTGCACCCGAGGTGTTGGCGGTATTTGGTCTCTGGCAGAACGATGTCCCAGCGCATGCCATCGTGGCTGGCAGTTCAGTGTTTGCTTGCCACTTTTCCGCGCTGATTCACTCGATTGGCAAAGCTGTCCCAGCTGGGTAAGCAACGATTTCAAGGGGTCCGCGTCCAGTGCCTCCTTTCTGTGCTGCCACACCTGGTGTGTCGGTGTCATCAGGGCATTGGCAAACTGATTTGTGCAGCGCTTGCCATCGTGGTTGGTTGCATGACATCTGCCTACCACTTTTCAGTGCTGGGGCATCCGATTGATGAGGGCCTACGACGAGGCACGATGCTGGTGCAGAGTCTGATCTCTAAGGGATAGCTGCCGAACACATAACGCCATTGGGCCGCTGTGCACGTCTATGTTGCTGCATACAACCTCGACGATGGCCACCACTGTTTGAGCATCCGCCGTCGTGGCTGACTACATCAGTTGACTTTGTCTCCTCCCCAGGCGGCAACGCTTTGATGACAATGGCTTCGATAACGTGTGGCTGGTTTCGACGAGGCACCGAGCCAGTGTTCCGTTTCGGCGCTGCTGCACCCGAGGTGTTGGCGGTATTTGGTCTCTGGCAGAACGATGTCCCAGCGCATGCCATCGTGGCTGGCAGTTCAGTGTTTGCTTGCCACTTTTCTGCGCTGATTCACTCGATTGGCAAAGCTGTCCCAGCTGGGTAAGCAACGATTTCAAGGGGTCCGCGTCCAGTGCCTCCTTTCTGTGCTGCCACACCTGGTGTGTCGGTGTCATCAGGGCATTGGCAAACTGATTTGTGCAGCGCTTGCCATCGTGGTTGGTTGCATGACATCTGCCTACCACTTTTCAGTGCTGGGGCATCCGATTGATGAGGGCCTACGACGAGGCACGATGCTGGTGCAGAGTCTGATCTCTAAGGGATAGCTGCCGAACACATAACGCCATTTGGCCGCTGTGCACGTCTATGTTGCTGCATACAACCTCGACGATGGCCACCACTGTTTAAGCATCCGCCGTCGTGGCTGACTACATCAGTTGACTTTGTCTCCTCCCCAGGCGGCAACGCTTTGATGACAATGGCTTCGATAACTTGTGACTGGTTTCGACGAGGCACCGAGCCAGTGTTCCGTTTCGGCGCTGCTGCACCCGAGGTGTTGGCGGTATTTGGTCTCTGGCAGAACGATGTCCCAGCGCATGCCATCGTGGCTGGCAGTTCAGTATTTGCTTGCCACTTTTCTGCGCTGATTCACTCGATTGGCAAAGCTGTCCCAGCTGGGTAAGCAACGATTTCAAGGGGTCCGCGTCCAGTGCCTCCTTTCTGTGCTGCCACACCTGGTGTGTCGGTGTCATCAGGGCATTGGCAAACTGATTTGTGCAGCGCTTGCCATCGTGGTTGGTTGCATGACATCTGCCTACCACTTTTCAGTGCTCGGGCATCCGATTGATGAGGGTCTACGGAGAGGCGCGATGCTGGTGCAGAGTCTGATCTCTAAGGGATAGCTGCCGAACACATAACGCCATTTGGCCGCTGTGCACGTCTATGTTGCTGCATACAACCTCGTGTCGGCGGCATTTGTGGCCTGGGAAACGATGGCCACCACTGTCTAAGCATCCGCCGTCGTGGCTCACTACATCAGTTGATCTTGTCTCCTCCCCAGGCGGCAACGCTTTGATGACAACGGCTTCGATAACGTGTGGCTGGTTTCGAAGAGGCACCGAGCCAGTGTTCCGTTTCGGCGCTGCTGCACACGAGGTGTTGGCGGTATTTGGTCTCTGGCAGAATGATGTCCCAGCGCATGCCATCGTGGCTGGCAGTTCAGTGTTTGCTTGCCACTTTTCTGCGCTGATTCACTCGATTGGCAAAGCTGTCCCAGCTGGGTAAGCAACGATTTCCAGGGGTCCGCGTCCAGTGCCTCCTTTCTGTGCTGCCACACCTGGTGTGTCGGTGTCATCAGGGCACTGGCAAACTGATTTGTGCAGCGCTTGCCATCTTGGTTGGTTGCATGACATCTGCCTACCACTTTTCAGTGCTGGGGCATCCGATTGATGAGGGTCTACGGAGAGGCGCGATGCTGGTGCAGAGTCTGATCTCTAAGGGATAGCTGCCGAACACATAACGCCATTTGGCCGCTGTGCACGTCTATGTTGCTGCATACAACCTCGTGTCGGCGGCATTCGTGGCCTGTGAAACGATGGCCACCACTATCTAAGCATGCGCCGTCGTGGCTCACTACATCAGTTGATCTTGTCTCCTCCCAAGGCGGCAACGCTTTGATGACAACGGCTTCGATAACGTGTGGCTGGTTTCGAAGGGGCACCGAGCCAGTGTTCCGTTTCGGCGCTGCTGCACCCGAGGTGTTGGCGGTATTTTGGTCTCTGGCAGAACGATGTCCCAGCGCATGCCATCGTAGTGTTTGCTTGCCACTTTTCTGCGCTGGTACACTCTATTTGCTAAGTTGTCGCAGCTTGGTAAGCAACGATTTCAAGGGGTCCGTGTCCAGTGCCTCCTGTCTGTGCTGCCATCTCTGGTGTGTCGGTGTCATCAGAGCGCTGGCAAACTGATTTGTGCAGCGCTTGCCATCGTGGTTGGTTGCATGACATCTGCCTGCCACTTTTCAGTGCTGTGGCATCCGATGCATGAGGGCCTACGGAGAGGCGCGATGCTGGCGCAGAGTCTGATCTCTAAGGGATAGCTGCCGAACACATAACGCCATTTGGCCGCTGTGCACGTCTATGTTGCTGCATACAACCTCGTGTCGGCGGCATTTGTGGCCTGGGAAACGATGGCCACCACTGACTAAACGTCAGCCGTCATAGCTGACTACATCAGGTAATCTTGTCTTCTCCCTAGGCGGCAACGCTTTGATGACAATGGCTTCGGTAACGTGTGGCTGGTTTCGACGAGGCACCGAGCCGGTGTTCCGTTTCGGCGCTGCTGCACCCGAGGTGTTGGTGGCATTCGAATTCTGGCATAATGATGTCCCAGCGCAAGCCATCGTGGCTGGCAGTTCGGTGTTTGCTTGCCACTTTTCTGCGCTGGTACACTCGATTTCCTAAGTTGTCGCAGCTGGGCAAGCAACGATTTCAAGGGGTCCTTGTCCAGTGCCTCCTTTCTGTGCTGCCACACCTGGTGTGTCGGTGTCATCAGGGGACCGGCAAACTGATTTGTGCAGCGCTTGCCATCTTGGTTGGTTGCATGACATCTGCCTACCACTTTTCAGTGCTGGGGCATCCGATGCATGAGAGCCTTTGGAGAGGCGCGATGCTGGTGCAGAGTCTGATCTCTAAGGGATAGCTGCCGAACACATAACGCCATTTGGCCGCTGTGCACGTCTATGTTGCTGCATACAACCTCGTGTCGGCGGCATTTGTGGCCTGGGAAACGATGACCACCACTGTCTAAGCATCCGCCGTCGTGGCTGACTACAGTGGGGGCGCGTGCCTAGAAACCAGTTGGATTTTGCCAGGTTGCCCTGGGTTTCTTGGATTTCGATGGGCTCCCAATCAGATCTTGACGATTTTCGATCGACGCATGCGGATTTTCACTGAACAAAACGCGGATTTCAGGGTTGGGTTTCTTGCGGTGGTTTCTTGTGTCCAAGCCCCCACTGTAAATCAGTTGATCTCGTCTCCTCCCCAGGCGGCAACGCTTTGATGACAATGGCTTCGATAGCGTGTGCCTGGTTTCGAAGAGGCACCGAGCCAGTGTTCCTTTTCGGCGCTGCTGCACCCGAGGTGTTGGCGGTATTTGGTCTCTGGCAGTTCGGTGTTTGCTTGCCACTTTTCTGCGCTGGTACACTCGACTTGCTAAGTAGCTTGGTAAGCAATGATTAAGCAATGTGCCTCCTTTTCTGTGCTGCCACACCTGGTGTGTCGGTGTCATCAGGGGACCGGCAAACTGATTTGTGCAGCGCTTGCCATCGTGGTTGGTTGCATGACATCTGCCTACCACTTTTCAGTGCTGGGGCATCCGAGGCATGAGGGCCTATGGAGAGGCGCGATGCTGGCGCAGAGTCTGATCTCTAAGGGATAGCTGCCGAACACATAACGCCATTTGGCCGCTGTGCACGTCTATGTTGCTGCATACAACCTCGTGTCGGCGGCATTTGTGGCCTGGGAAACGATGGCCACCACTGACTAAACGTCAGCCGTCATGGCTGACTACATCAGGTAATCTTGTCTTCTCCCTAGGCGGCAACGCTTTGATGACATGGCTTCGGTAACGTGTGGCTGGTTTCGACGAGGCACCGAGCCAGTGTTCCGTTTCGGCGCTGCTGCACCCGAGGTGTTGGCGGCATTTGGACTGTGGCA